GAGAGCAAAGAATGGGCAGGAGAGAGAGAGATGGGGAGGAAGGAAGGAAGAGAGAGGGAGGGAAAGAAGAAAGCAAGTGGGCAGAGAAAGGCAGTTGGCCGATGGGCAGCAGGCAGGCAGGTGGGGGAGGGGGCTTTGGAAGTCTTTCTCTGCTGGCGCGCCTCGGTGCATGGGCAGAGAAAGGCGGTGGGCGGGCAGGGCTCTCCGGAGGTCTTTCTCTGCCGGTGCGCCTTGGTGCATGGGCAGAGAAAGGCGGTGGGCGGGCGGGCATGGCTCTCCGGAGCTCTTTCTCTGCCCGCGCGCCTCAGTGCATGGGCAGAGAAAGGCGGCGGGTGGGTGGGGCGCTCTGGAGATCTGTGCTGGGGCAACGGCGCACGTGCCCTCTCTGGCATGCGTGCCGTAGGTTCGCCATCGCCTCTCTAGGCTGCTCCTGCATTGAGCAGGGGGTTGGACTAGATGGCCCGTAGGTCTCCTTCCAACCGTTACAATTCTGTGAAACCCCTCAACAAATTCCCACCTCCACAGACACTGCCTCATCTCCAGGAATTTCCCAAGCTAGAGATGGCAACCTTAGACATACTCTCCTTGTATGCAGTGAAATTTGAACCAAGGACTCCCCAACTCGCACACCTGCAGAGCTACCCAGGGCTCCCTATAGGGAAGTGAGCCCCACAGAGAGCACAGGATTAGCCGCTTCAGTGCCCAGCCTGCCTTTTAGAACCCGACTGGTTCTCGAACCCAGGATCTAACGGCACAACCGGGCATACCAGGCTCAGTTCTTCTTGGAAGTCATTGGAAGGCCCAGTGTCGGGGTGGTCTCCCGTGCTCAGAAACAAAAAGCTGTGTGGGCACAGAGGGACTCATTTAATTATTATTTACACCGGACTTTAAATGCAGTGGTAATTACTGTTGTGTGCAGTTCATCAGAGTAGAACGTTGGAGGTTGTACAAGACCTGACCAGCCTGAGCTCATCAGATCTTGGCTGCTAAGCAGGATCTGGTGAGTACTTGGAGGGGAGACCACCAAGGAAGTCCAAGGTGGCTACGCAGAGGCCGGCAATGGCCAAGCCGCCTCTGAACATCTCTTGCCTGGAAGTCTTGAAAAAGTGCTGTCTTGACTTGCCAGCAATGTTCCCTCCAAGCTGTGGAGTCTTGTGAGCAAAAAATCTGCTTTGTGAGCTACTGGCCTTAAAGTTGTGAGCGAACGATTTGGCTGCTGCATACATCAGTTTGCTCTGGAGCCATCCTCCCTTAGCTGAGACAAAAATCTGTGAGCCGGAGGCGAAAAAACTGTGAGCTAACTCACACTAACTCAGCTTAGAGGGAACACTGCTTGCCAGCACTTTCCACCACCAACCTTGGTATGAAACAATCGGTATAATTACTTTATTGTTTTTCCCCAGTGGTTTTTTAAAAAAAATTTCTTTTAATGTCCAATAAAATTGTTGATAGGGGGAAAAATGTTTCTATGTGTTCTTGCACTGGAAACTTTGAGCCTGGCTTGCCTCAGGATTAGGGATATAGCAGTTTTGCCCTGACCTGGATAGCCCAGGCACGCCTGATCTTGTCAGATCTCAGAAGCTAAGCAGGCCCCGACTCCGGGAAATACTTGGATGGGAGACCTGCAAGGAATACCAGGGCCTCAAGCAAGTTGGACTATAAGGAAGGCCGAGCGCCGAAGAATAGATTCTTTTGAACTTTTGCACTGAAAACTTTGAGCCTGGCTTGCCTCAAGATTAGGGATATAGCACTTTTGCCCTGACCTGGATAGCCCAGGCAGGCCTGATCTTGTCAGATCTCGGAAGCTAACCAGGCCCTGACTCCGGGAAGTACTTGGATGGGAGACCTGCAAGGAATACCAGGGCCTTAAGCAATGTCCCTTCTAAGCTGTGGAGTCCTGTGAGCAAAAATTCTGCTTTGTGAGCTACTGGCATTAAAGTTGTGAGTGAGCGATTGGGCTGTTGCATGAATTAGTGTGCTCTGGAGCCCTCCTTCCTGAGCAAAGGCAAAGATGTGTGAGCTGGAGGCTAAAGAACTGTGAGCTAGCCCACACTAACTCAGC